TCTAATTTTCTGACAGTCTTGTCTTCTTAGACTGCAGTATCGATCACATATTGGTGACAAATATCACCTTCATTCAAGGCCCCAGCCAAGGAACATGACCTAAGTGCACCTTTACAGATCAGCCATCACGCACAAGGGAGCTGCCACTCACACCTAAGTCACAGGATAACTCAGGTTGGAAGGGCCTCTGGAAGTCACCCAATCCCCTGTCCTGCTCAAAACAAGTTTAATTAGATCAGAGCGCGCAGGGGCTTGTCTGGGTAACCCCAAGGATGGGGATTCCACAACTTCTCCAGGCAACCTGTTCTACTATTTGACCCACTTCACCAGAAAGCACACAGTGCTTGCAATTTACCAAGTCATTAATTCAGAAAACTGTTTCTCACCTATTAAAAACATCATGACCACGATGAGTCCATCCCCTTACATAAAATGGGGAAGGATGAAGGAGGTGAGTAAGGAAGGGAGAGGAAGGATGAGAGTGAAGACAATTTCACCCAAAACAGAGGAAGAGTCTTTGCACTACTCTTCAGCAAGCCATGAATTTGTTCTCTAGCTCAGACATCATGGCGTGACAGCCAATGCAGGTGAGGTCAAAGACAAGGGATGAGAAAGAGGAGAAGTGAGACCATGCTCCTCCCCTTGGTTATCATACTCCTCCCTCTATTCAAAACGGTTTCACTGTAATCCAGACACAGAAAAATGGTTTTCATGCAGGAACTGAAAATGCCGTATCAGCATCAACTGTTTGCAAACACTCAATCCTCCTAAAGGCTGACAGAAAGAAAATAAGCCTGGTGGCAAACAATCATGTGAACAGCTCCTGCGGTGACAAGTTCAGAGCAGGGAAAAAAAAAAAATCTTACTTTGCTGAATGAAATTGTCAAAAGACCAAAATCCTATCAAGGAATTCCTTCTTTTAGCATATAGAGAAGTTGGTTTGTGTGTCACACAAAAGTGAAGACCCCAGAATTAAAGATGAAGGTCTTCTACTTAAAATACCACCTGAACAATTTTACTCCTAAAATCAATCTGTAAGTATCCGTGAATTAATTATGCTGACAACTACTGGGAACAGGAACTTAATCAGTTCTTTAGAAGATCCCTTTCCAGCTATGCCCCAACCCTATGACAGAAGAAAGAGAAAGAGGAAATGGAGCAGTGATCTCTAGTTTTTTAAAACTCCAAAATTCTAACATTCAAGATACTCATGAATATGTTTATTGCTTCTCTATTAACCGTGCAGAAACAGTTATCAGAGCACTGTGGTATTAACTGTACACTTCAGATTAGGTGTAGGAGGAATAGAGAAAAGAAATGGTGATGAGATGAGAGAAAGAATTATGACTTTTCTTCCCTACTCCCCCTCCCCTGCTCCTGCCAAACCACCAGCAAGTATTAGCACACTTTAGGTCTGGATACTTGCCAGTTAGCATAAAGGCCAACAAAACCAGAAGCTGCTAGAAATACAATAGGTTTTGGGGACACAAAACCTGCATAACAAATATAGACAGAGACCAAAGTTAACTACTCCCAACTTCAATAAATACAGCAAGTGAAACTGGAAAAGACTGAAAAAGCATCATGACAACCGTCAACTATTCAAAGTGAAAAACAGTAAATCAAAATTTCAAGTAGGAATCCCTCAGTTTCCTTTTTTTACTTTTTTAAATAACAGGACAGGCTATCTTCACACCCCCAGCAGGATGCCAGTCACCAACAAGTTTTTGTGAAGCAACCACCAGCACATGAAAAGAGCGGTGATCTTGAGAGCTGCAGCATTGTACCGTAATCAGAAGACACAGAAGGAAGTAGCAACCTTTCCTTTCTCTGGAAAAGGCTTGGCAAGTAGTATTTAGCACATTTAAGAAGTTTAAAGAAAGCTGTCGGCTTGCATGTCCTGAATGGCAATACCACAGGCTGCTACAGAACCCTTAGGCAAAAGGGTACAGCAACAAGCGTCCTGCCACAAAAATCACAGAAGCAGCTTTTACCATATAGTGCCCACAAAAGAAAAGGTCACGCACTTTTCCTCTTCACTCAGCTGTTTTACAATCGCACGCCAAAGGCCAACTATCTTCACTTACTTTTGGAAACCAGCCACAAGATTACTAACAACCAGCTTAATGGCTACAGTTCAAATGCTATTCAATCAAGTCCCGAATATGAGGGTATGCAGCAATAACGGCACCATGACATCAGGGGCAAGTTATCTGCTGAAATCAGAGGGAGTCAGACAGTGTGCGTCTTTGCCTTCTCTCCCCACAAAGAGAAACATGAGCTTTTAAGGAGTGGGAATCAAAGTGTTAGAGATTTTGTTCTTTCCTTAGTGTGGCCAAGGCATAACATTTCTCTGCAAAACAACTATTTGCCATCATCACATAAGCCATCAGACTAATTTGGATTTTTGGAGGTGCATCAAGACAGGTGTCTAACAGCTAGATTTAAAGAAGTCTTCGTTACACGTCAAGTTACATGTGTACCTCAGCAAGGGATATGTAAAGAGTAAAGCATGCAGGTGCATTCAACACGTTACAGGTCTATTTATCTTCCAAATACATTTGAGGGCAGCAGCATTGACCTGATCAATAAGACGGATCACATGAGGCACATGAATGGGATACCCTGAGATTTCTCAGTCATGAGCAAAGTACTAACAAAACAGATCTGGCATGTCTGATGGAAATTAATTTCCACCACCTGAAGCACATCTGAAGTGGACCAGACTTTCAAAATGACAACATGCCACAGGGTTTGTCAGTCTGAGTAAAGTGAACTGTAACAATTCAAATTGTTGTTGCCTTATTTGTCTGAAATTTGCCAGCTTTAGACAGTGAATCTTACCCATGCTGCACAGAACTCAACTACGTGCTGAAGCAGTATTCCTGAAACTCTTGGGAGTTTCCACTAACTTCAGTGATAATCGTGAGCAATTTACCATTTCCATAACATAGTTTACTCATCTATGAGGTAAATACATAAAATTTGTAAGCATTTTCAGATATGAGATGAAAGGAAATACATTTTGAAGAACTGTTCATCACTGCTTTTAAGAAGTGTTCAGATTAAGTTTTGGGTAGAGTAGGAAAATCTCTTTGTATTCTAGGAAAAATATGGGAATTAATGTAATGTAACAGCACATATATCACCATGTTTCTATCATCGTGACAAAATTTGTATCTATGGGATGGTATCAAGTGGCTCAGACTCAAGAACATCTTACTATCAGCAACTGTGCCACTGTGCGCAGGTCTACATTTTAGCACAGAGTAAACTTTCAAAGGTCTAAAAAAAGTTATTTTCCTTTAATTACTAGTGAATATTTTTAAATTAATACAAATTTTACACTTACAAATTTTCACGTACTTCAGCAAACTTCTATACCAAACTAGATGAAAATAATTAAGAATACCCTTTAAAATTAATTATATTTCATTATACTTAATTTGTCCTTCTTGTTCAGCATTTTCTAGAAGCTTACTTCAGCTGTGCTCTACTTCAAATACACTAGAAAAGCTGAGGGCAGCTAACCCAAAATAGAAGAATACAGCCTAGGTTAAGAAAAATAGATGAAAGGTTATCACAGAAGACTTCTAAAATTCTGACAGCCTTGAATGCTTAAAAACAGCAAAATAAAATAGTCTTGTAATTTACATAAACACTGGAATTGAGGTGTACAGGTCTAATAGGCATCTTTAGGCCAATTATGGGCCAGGGATGTGTAGGATATATACAGATGCAATTATTTTAGAAGTTAACAATCTCAAAGCAGGATACATCTTTACAACCTTTATCTGTTGCTGGCCACACGATATTACTGTACTTTTAACAAAGCCACAGTTATGTTACTGAAATATCATCTATAAAAGACGCATATTAAGTTTACATGGAGAGGGTTTTTTTCCAACTTATCTTAAAATAGTAGTTAAAATCAAGGTCTTCACTGGCAAAAATTCTGAGCAGATGAGTAATCCCATTGAGGTCTGCAGGACTTGATTTGTCAGCATACACAAAGTTACAGCCTTACATCTGCAGGATAGGCACCTCTCAAGGCAGTTTCTACTCAAAGCATTTTAGAAAGAAGCAACTTAAAATACTTCAATACTAAATACATCACACTAGGAAGGTAAAGCCCATCTTACACATTTATGGAGAAATACTGACTCAGAATAGTACTGCATTAAAACACCCTGTAATGTGGCTCTTACTACTTGGAAACAATAAAGCTCAGAGCTATGCTTTACTGAGGCCAAATCACTCTGGATTTTTATATTTTGCTCCCCCTCTAAATAAAATTTTGGTCTTGTTCTGTGCATCCAGTTCATTCAAATAAAGTTTTTGAAATTCAAATATTTTTCAAACTCCTTTAAAATAGCCAAGATGAACTCTAAAAAGCCTTTGATACATTTAAAGAACGTTAGACCAAAATTCCTCTAATGCACTCCAACATCTCCAGCATCTGCATAAAGCCATTAAATATTCAGATACAAGCTTATCTCTCAAGTTCATCAGGACTAAAGATAAAACTCAGCACCAATGTTTGTCAGCCTGATGCTAAAAGATTATCTACTGAGAAATAATCTAATCACTGTTCTTTGATATTGGAATCCTTGGCAGGAGGCAAAGGAAAGGAATACCAAATTGATCTTGATTACTTTAAGGGGTTTCCTCTTATAGAAGCAAATTCGTTGTAGAGATTATCCTGTACTTCTGCTTATTTGCTACCATGTTTATGACCAACTTTTCAAATATTCCAATCTCAAAAGAGAGGAATGAGAGACTTTGGGATACATGCTCAACACAGAAACGAAACAGCCTCTCCTGATCTTAGAGAGGTCAGACCAGGATTGAGGAAGTCTTGAGGTACCCCATTAAAAGGAGATGGCGTTTGCTGCGGACTCAAAGGAGGGTCAGGTCTAACGGACAGGAAGAGGCTGACCAGAGAAGCTGAAAAGCCCTGGGTGAAAGCGGTAACCCCCGAGCCCTCACCCTCCACTTACCTTAAGGATATCCCCCCGTTTGAAGCTCAGCTCGTCATCCGCCGTGGCTTTGAAGTCGTACTTGGCGATGGCTTCCATGCTGGGGCTGCCGCGCAGGGCGGTGCGGGCGCTGGGCAGGAAGCGCTCCCC